GACATCAGCAATGATATCCTTCATTCCACGGCCTCTTCTGAATCAGGCTTGAACCTCTGGAAGTTCTCTGTCAATGTGTGATTGTAGCCATTTCTGTATTACCTTTAGTAAAAATTTACTCGCATGGTATATGAAAGAGATTGTCCGATGATTTCTATATACCATTGAGACACCTCTCTTTGGAATGGGCACAAATACAGATCTCTTCCAATCATTCGGCCAGATAGTTGTCTTCCAGATGTTTTGGCAGAGATGAGTGAGTGCCTCCTGTGCCGCCTCAGTTTCTTGAAAGATTTCAATTTTTATTCCATCAATTCCTGGTGCCTTGTTCTTTGCCAATTCCTTCAGTGCACCTTGGATTTCCTCCTTCAGGATCATTGGCTCTTGATCACATGGTACCTCTTAAAATGGTTGAACACTAACCTTTTGCTACAGTGACTCTGTATTCCTTCAATCTTTTCTTGATGCTTTCTGCATCATTCAGTAGTTTGCCCAGAGAATCTTTCTATAAAGAAAGTCAAGCCATGAATTTTTTCTTCAGTTCCTCCAGCTTAATAAATGCTGAACTTGTTCTTCCTTTTTTGGTTTTCTGGTTTTCCAGGGATGAGAAATATCTTTTATTCAAATCATAAATGGAACAAGTAAGCAACTAAGCAGTAATTATAGTATTTAATCATTTATCTCCAGAAAACCCTGGATTCTGGCTGGAAATTTTAGCCCTAGTAATAAGAAATCTTTGGCAACATGGGTCAGACTATTTCCTTTTCAAATCCTCTTATGTGTGCTTTTGGCATCCCCTGTTTTGTTTTTGTTTTTACAAGATAAACTTCAAATATATTGTTGAGGCAAAAAACAATGAAATATACACAGAATGATGGAATAACAAAGACAGAAACCACCTTGAAGAGATTCCCACTAACTAAACCAAGAACCATTTAGACATCAAAACAAATAATGACAATAATGTGTAACAACCTATTAAACAAAATAGAAATTCATGAGTCCATATTATTAAAGACATGAATAAATAAAACAACCAGTAAAGAAAAAGTTTCAAAGTAATGTCACATAAAATACTTATCAATTACAAAGAGAAAAAAGCTAATTTTACAGAGGAAAATCCCAGCAGTCATTGCCTTAATTTAGTGACCAAAATGCACTCTAGTAATGGGACAAATTGAAATCTTATGCCATTCAATAGAATGCAATGAGAACAGCATAGAATTTATTCTTTGATATTTCAGCCAAGGTTTATAATCTAAATTTCATCATGAAGGAACATTAGAAAAACTCAAGTATCATTATACTTCACAAGAGGACTGACTAGTAATCTTTCAAAGTGGCAGGGTCATGAAAGGCAAGGGTACACACAGGAACCATCTTGGATTAATAGAGATAACAGAAATGAATCTGCTATGCAAAGAGTGGTTCTAAACTGGATCGTAATGATACTAAGGAAACTCTGGAAATAACTGACAAATATTGAATGGAATCTGTGGATCGTACTAATGTGGTGCTTTTAATTTTCTAGTTTGATGGTTATGTTGTGCTTATGTGGGAGAATGTCTTATAAGAAATACATATGAAGTATTCAAAGATGATAGGGGATCAGATGGG